GGCTGGTGGTAATTCGATGGCAGCCGATGGCAGCCGTCCCGCGAGGCCGGGGGCGACAAGCGCGCAGCCATTTGTGCGTGTGGCGGGGGAGGCGGACGGCTGCCATCGAATTATCACCAGCCATGCTCCGGAGGATGGCTGCACTGACTGTGCCCCAGCCATAGTAGATGGCTGAAATGGCTGTCCCCCAGCCATCTTACCCCAGATGGCTGCGATGTAGCCAGCTAAGCCAAGAGGGCTCACCTCGAGGCGGGCGGTATGGCTGCGGTAGTGCGTCTCCAGCCATGTCTACCAAGGATGGCTGCCGTGTGTATTGCAGCCATTAGACTGGAGGATGTGGCTGCACTGCAGCTAGCTCAGCCATCCTTAGGAAGATGGCTGTGAAGGAGCCAGCACAGCCATTTTGGGTGTTACATTCCGAGGTTAGCCTTGCCCTGTGGTTGTGGTTGTGCCCGTCGCGCCCGGCGGCGTGCATATCGGCTCTGTCAGGCTTGCAGCTTGCAGCCCCAGCCGTGAGACTGTGCTTCCTGAAGGAGCTTGTGGAAGAACCACTTCTTCTGCCTCCTATGCCGGAGCGCATCATCATCGACACCGACATGTCCATCGACGTGGACGATGTGGGAGCGCTCTGCCTAGCGCACGCTCTCCAGGACCGCAACAAGGCGGAGATCTTGGCGGTTACGCACAATACCGGCCTCGAGCAGGGCGTCGGCGCTGTGTCGGTGATCAACCACTACTTTGGCCGTGATGACATTCCAATCGGAGCTTACCGCGGTCCTGTGGGCTGACCTGCGGACACGCCAGCCAACCCTCCGATCGAGTGGACCAACAGCGGGAAAGGATGGTATGTCGCGGACCTGGTGGCTCGCTTCCATTCTCCCATCCGAGACTCGTCGCAGGTGCCAGACGCGCTCACTGTCTTGCGACAAGCGCTCTTCAACGCGCCGGGCCATCGCACAGTGACGATTGTTGCCATCGGCCACGCGCTCAACGTCCTCGCCCTCCTAAAATCGCCAGGCGGCTTGGACTTGGTCAAGCGCAAAGTCTGGGGGGCACCTACTGGGACCGGCACCCGCACGTCGAGTGGAACTGCGGCGCGTACAGCAAGCTCTCGCAGCTCACCTCGGACGCTCTCAGCCGCTGGCCGGTGGAGGTGCCTACCGTGTTCGTGAGCTTCGACATCGGCTTCTGGGTGCGGGTCGGCGGCGTGCTCAAGACCGGAGCTCCCGTAAACAGCCCTTGCCGACAGGCCTTTGTCGACTTTTGCGGCGTCGTCGATGATTGGGCGATAAGGGTACGCCTGGGCATTCCTCGGTGGCGGCAGGAGGTGGAGCAGGCCGAGCGGCTCGAGGAACATGACCACGTCGAGGACGAGCGG